CCCAAACAAAACCAACCAAACAAAAAAACAAGAAACAACAATGACAACAACTGGGCGCTGTGGCTCAAGCCTGCAATCCCAGCACTTTGGGAGGCCAAGGGAGGCGGATCACCTGAGGTCAGAAGCTCGGGAGCAGCCCAGCCAACATGAGGAAACCCCATCTCTATGAAAAATGCAAAAATTAGCTGGGTGTAGTGGTGTGTGTCTGTAATTCCAGCTACTCAGGAGGCTGAGGCAGGAGAACTGCTTGAACCAGGGAAGTGGAGGTTGCAGTGAGCCGAGATGGCGCCACTACAGTCCAGCCTGGGCAACAGAGTGAGACTCCAACACACACTCCAACACACACACACACACACACACACACACACACACACACACACACACACACACACACACAGAGAGAGAGAGAGAGAGAGAGAGAGAGAGAGAGGTAGCGAGCGAGCAAGCTGGGCTGCTTTAACAGCCATTTGTTTTCTTTAACTCTTTATCTGGTAAAGAGGTGTCAGTCACTCACTATCTTTTGCGAAACAATTCTTTGTAAGCTTTTAGGGATAAAGTCTTCTTCCTGAAGCTTTTCTTTCTCCAGTAAAGTAAACTGTATTCCAAATTCTCTAAATGTTTCTTATTTCTTTGAATTTATGAGTAAATCAATTGCATTTGAATAACTAAGGGAAGCAACCTATGGCTCTTCGTATTAAAGTAAGGCCAATTTTAGTTTTCATGCTAAAAAATTAATCAAGCTTTTGGTCATATTCCTTTATAAACCATTTTTTTAATTATATAAATTTTATATAATTCAAAAGCTACTCCTCAGAAAGAAAGCAGCTATGGCTACATCTTCATTTAACAGATGAAGGAGAACCTAGTTTGTTAACAGTACGAAATTTGAAAACTGATTCAGGAACTGAGTCACATTTCCTGCTTTGAGACCCAACCACAACGTGCACAAGCTGCTGTAATAGCATTTTCTTTCTTCCATAAATGGCTCTCCCCAGAGCAAATACAGTTCAACAGGAACCAAACCTGCTACTTAACTATTCAAAGAAGCCAGTGAACAAAGCATGGCCACCAAAGTTTCGTAATGTCTGGTGTCTGGACATCCCTTCTTATTGCCCCTTAGGTAGTTATAAAGAAGAAGAGATAAAGAGGCTAGCTTTAAAGAACATTAAATTAAAAATGTCAAAAGACAGCTATTTGTGCCTAAATTTCCAGAATGAGAACCTGAGATTATAAAGCTTGAGCAAGCCAGAAGTTATCTATCTGCCTTGATAATATTACAAAAATAGAACAGAACCTAATTCTTGCAACAGCTATTTTTGTACTGATGAAGGAAAAGTATTCTTTGCTGTTTTTGGAGAACTAAAGCTGTTTTTGTTTCCACTGTTTTAAAGCAAGCAAGCAAAGAGTCAAAACCTTTTCTGGGAACACACTTAATTCATTACAGCAATCAAGTCAAGAGCCCCTAGTTAGGTGAGCATATTGTCCAGCCGGGGTGATTTAGTGCCATGGATCGTCCATGAATGGCAAGCTGCCAATAAAAGGTGAGAAAACAAAAGGCCTAAGGAAAATGATGTAGATCTTACCTCATCAGCACCATGTGCCTGAAGTTCCTTGTAGAATTTCAAAGAAATACTGACCATCACTTTTGTTTTGTCTCCATTAGGATTTGAAATATGATAGAGGACCCCATCGAAATCTGTGAGGAAGGCAAATAAGATTGCTTAACAACTTGGGAATGGGAAATAATCTCTCCAAGCACCTACCTTGCTGTAGGCCACAGGAAGACCTCTTATAAGGAGGCATATAAGTAAAACGGAATTTGTCTTACATCCACGTGACAAATCAGCAGGAACACTGGGAAAGAAATGCTGAGTACTCATCTCTTTGCTCTTCCTTAAAATTACAAAGCTATTCTTTCCTTAATCACAGCTTGGTGCTGAAATAATTGGATTTTAAACATGTATATAAGCAGAATGAACAGTATAATGAACTCCTATCCCCATCATAAGGCTTCAACAATTTTTTTTTTTGAGACAGAGTCTCACTCTGTCATCCAGACTGGAGTGCAATGGCGTCATCTCGGCTCACTGTAACCTTTGCCTCCTGGGTTCAAGTGATTCTCCTGCCTCAGCCTCCCGAGTAGCTGAGGACTACAGACACATGCTACCACATTCGGCTAATTTTTGTATTTTTAGTAGAAACGGGGTTTATGTTGGCTAGGCTGGTCTCGAACTCTTGACCTCATAATCTGACCATCTTGGCCTCCCAAAGTGTTGGGATTATGGGCGTGAGCCACCACGTCCGGCCTCAACAATTATTATTACATAGCCAATTCTTGTTTCATTTAGATGTCCTCCTTCCCAATGATTTATTTTGAAGCAAATCCCAGACACAACACATAATATCCTCCATAAATACTTCAGAATATATCTTTGGAAGATACAGAAGACTATTTGTTAAAAAAAAAACAACATAGCCACAATACTACTGTCATGCCTAAGTTTTTAAAAACAATTTCTTAATATCAAATATTCAGTCAAGGCCAGGCACAGTGGCTCAAGCCTGTAATCTCAGCACTTTGGGAGGCCAAGGCGGGCAGATCCAGAGTTCAAGACCAGCCTGGCCAATATGGTGAAACCCCATCTATTACTAAAAATACAAAAAAACTAGCCACTCATGGTGGCGCGTGCCTATAGCCCCAGCTACTTGGGAGGCTGAAGCAGGAAAATTGCTTGATCCCAGGAGGCAGAGGTTGCAGTTGGTTGAGATTGTGCCACTGCA